AATATCAATGTAAAAAAAACCAAACAAATTTTTTACATTATTCATAATGAAATTTTAATGTCGGTGTTTCCGACGAAGCGCTATATTTCATACAAGTCAACACTTTCTAACATTTATARTACATACCTACACTACCTATTGTTGCAAATTCGATTTTGTTGTACGGAATATATACAACCAATATGAATATTATTATTGCAACAATACGCACTTAATCTCAATACGTTTCATGAGTATATACCTAATGGAAGTGTGTTGAAGAAAATAATGTATTACTTAAGTGTATCGACAAAGTATAATATTTAAATAACATTTAATGATGTTGACTAAATACGTTATCATTCTATTAACTATTAGCGGTCGACTGCCGTACACCTCTGCCCACTCTATTACCTAATATATTAACAATTACCATAATTATTGTTTATTTGTACAAAAATCAATAAATAYATTAATTATGATTTTACATTTTAGATTCACTTCGCTTCGACAGTCCGACAGTTTTCAGTATAGTGCGACCACTGTTGTTGGTACAATGTTTTAAATTATCAATAATTTTCAGTTGAAATTGTTTACGTTTGAGCTTATGTACTTAATATAAATGATAATAATAGTTGCGTCGTTGTAAGATTATTATAATACACATATTCATATTTTTACCAATTTCTGCGTGGCTTTTACTAATTATTTATTTATGTAGTTTATGTGCGTTTTAATACTCATATAACTCGTTTTTATATTGAACACACTTATTTTTGTCAAGTATTATAATATAATTTATACTTTCGTCTGCCGTTAAGAGAAACATGTCTTCCGCACAAGAAGTACTAGATGATACAGTAGGTACTACATCCAAATCATCTGAGCCCACATCTGAWCTATCTATAGAAGAAATAACCGCTGAGATGAGCTTATTAACCGAAGATGAATTAAAAATAAAAGTGAATGAAATGCTCAAGCAGACATCTTTTAATTTTGAAAATTTCAAGGAACTCGGTGAGATTATTAGATATGTACCATCGTGGTTACTGCAAAATGATTACGAACAGGAATTTGACCCTAAAGTTATTCTAAATTATATGGCTGCAAAAAATTCCGATAAAAATGTTATGGATAAAGATATAAGGATGTTAGTTAAGTTAGCTATTGAAAGAGGAAACGATTTGGAAAAAATCGTTTTAAAATCATCACCAGAAATTAAACACGAATTCGAAAAAMTTATAGTAAAATATGAATTAGTCTCAAATGCTAAAAATTCAAAATCTGCTGTGACTTTATCCAGAATTTGTGAGAGCGTTCCAATTTTAACATGCTTGTACCTTAAAAATGAAGCTGAAAATCCTATTGTATCTTTTGAATTGATGGACACTATTTGTAAGAACTATCCTAGAGTGATGATGTCGTCTGCTTTTTCTTATTTGATACCAAACAAAGAGGACGAATTTTGCACATTTTTAAAAAAAGCCCACTTGCTTCATCAATACCAGTTTTTCGCCAAAATTTCGCAAGTCAGTCATCCGAATTTCTCAGTTGATATTGAAAATGAATTCATCACCAAGGTTTACGTGAGTACTCAAGCAGCTATTAATGGATCACATATGGAGTACGAAGATCAAATTAAGTTTTTAAAAGAAAATGATCTAATTGTGGAAATTGAAAATGAAATAACTGTTACCGAAGTAGTTCTAGAAGCAGTCAAGTTGTGGGACGATAAAGAAAGACAACACGAATTGGACCAAAAAATTTCCGGTTATGAACTTGAAGATTATCCGATGAGTTATTTTAGATAATATTGTGGAACATGTACAACATATTATATAGTATTAAGTTTTATTTCAATTTCATTTAAACGAATCAGTTCTTAGAAAAAAAAACGATTTCATATTTTTATATTATACTTCATTTTTTAAAATATAATATTAACAAAAAAATTTTATAGGGTGTGGATAATATTTGACTTAAATATTTAATTTCGAACTTAAACTTAATTYCGTTGTTAGAAATTATATAATAAAATTGTTTTAATCTAATTCATACAATCGATTA